ATTTCCCTTGTTTTGCTCAAAACACGTGGCACCCCTCACAGTTTCCGCGTTGCACTTATAACAGAACGAGACGGAGTAACATATGTGCTATGTTGGCCAAGCCCAGTCCAGCCTTACAGTCATTCTCTACTGCAAAAAGCAACAACGTTTTGTACAGAAGAATTTTCGTTTTTCAGGCATCGCAATGCTCATTGCCTACAAATACCAGCGCTGTGAAATCCCTACATTCCTAATTCACGGCGCATTCGAGCGAAAACTCGTCAATAGATAAACTCGTAGAGATTGAACGATCGCGCCTTTTTCAACATGATTCAGCGAAAGCTTTCAAGGAGTGGTGTCTGGAAAATGCTTTAGGAGATGCCTTCGCCTGAACCAAACCCTACCTGTCAAACCAGAATTTTACCTCTGTGCAAGATATAAATAATCACTATGCATTTCGTTTGACTGAACCATTCAAGGCTTCCAATTGCGTTGTTTCCAAAATGCGTCACGCCTCTGCCTGAGTCGGAATCTGCTACTTAAACTACCATGGATCCAACTCAGCTCCCTGATGAAACTTTCACTGACTCAGACAATGAAGTGGGACTCCGATGCGGCAGCTGTCTTGCATTCTTCAACTGGCATATTTGGAGGTCACTGACCACGTACTGAAGCTTCCCAACCTTCGCATTGGCCAAACCTGCCTGTTTGCGCAAGCTTCGGTCCAATTCTAGTTCCTCCACTGTGTAATCTCTATGGGCGTACGAATGATCGAAATACCTTGTTAGGCTCTGTCGTCCCGATTTCATGTGACGCAGTAGCCTGTCCTTCGAAGCAGGTGAGGGGAGCTCAATTATTATGATACGGTCGCGCCCACCTTGATTCCTCGGCTTCACAGGCGGGTGGCGATGAGCCGTTATTGTTCCTTTTGAAAATTCCTCGATAGGCTCATCATCACATGAGAAGAGAATCACCTCTCGCAGAGCTTCCTGATCAAATTTTCTCGTCGCAACTTCGTCAGCCTGTTCTCCTAGTCCGACCCAGGTTATTCGCCTCAGTTTATCTTCGATTTTCTCGCTATCGGCCTTCACTTTGACCAGGGTGGAGTAAAGAAGGTTGTTCCCCAGCCTCAACACTCCTTCAAGTTAGGCATTGAAACTTTCAATTCGAGTGACTCAAAAACGTGGTCATGGAAGTGCACTTTCATGGACTGCTCCCTCAATCATAAAGCTTCTTGCACCACTGATGCTATTGTGTTTATACCAGTTACAGCGACTGCACTCATGAAGAAAGATGGGATCTTGAATCAGCTTCAGAGGAGTCTAGTGTTAAATGGTGCACTATCATATACGTATGGTCATGGGTTTGAAACCCTGATCGATATCCGTCTAGGCCAACCAAGCCTTGTATCCTTTCGAGGTCAGTTAGTCGGTATCAGACCCGTCTGGGAGGAAAAATATACTAACTTGTGCATGGGCTTGCCAACGCAAGTCATTGTATGGCCCACATATGCATTCAATACGCGACTATGATTCTGAATGGAAGTCGAATGCGGAGGTGCATCATCAGGTAGAATTGATCAACGCATAGGTCATTATCCTTTATTCTTAAGGTTCTTGAGTTGTATTCTCATTGTTCGCACTGCTCCTCTTGAGCCATCGATTGAGAGTGTCATGTTGTTCGATCCCAATTAGATTCAACACCCACGCGCAAATCGAAGAAATATCGTCAACAGCAGCAGCTGAGTGCTCATATGTGATGTGATTCTATGCACATTCAATCAATGGAATGGTAACACCGGGCTGTAAGAACTCCGTGAACATCGCGACCTGGTCTATGTTCATGGAAGTACAAAGGGTGAAGGGAATGTGAAATTTATAAACATTGGTAGTTTGATTGAAGGAGAGTAATACAGTATTGGTAACATTTTATCGCATGAAGTTATCTAATTGTAAAAAGGGAAGTATAGGCTTGATCTCGAACCCAGTCATAGGTGTTCGACTGCACATACTACTGCACACATGAATATATTATTGTAATGACAAAATCTGCAGGGTTCTTCCATCAATCGAAATTAGCGAAAACGGCACCGTTCTACCTTCAGCGATCCACAGAGTGTACAGCTTTCGCGATTGTAAATTCCGCATCAGCTTCAATGCAGCTCTCTGTACCAATAAAAAACATAGGTAAGATTACCTAACCGGCATTTTCCTTGCTTCATAATTCATTTTTTCAAGGATTGTCATCTCATTCATGAACCATTGGCCGGATCCTCTACGAATTCCTAAAGCATTAATGGAACGCAACGTGTTCATCATACAAAATGGTAGCATCGCTTCTGTTATTACTGACACAAAGATCAGAAAATGAATTTGCAATATCGCGGGCTACGTTCTATAACTACACTTTGGAAAAATCAGTTTAATTTCGACTACCCGAAACTTTTGCGTGCGTGATTTTTTTCTCCAGCTCTCTAAACGAGCAATTCGCACCTTTCCCTGATAAAGTCCTTTAATTAGTACTTCGGGCTAACCTTTTTGCTCTGCTGCGTCAAAGGGCTAGTTCTGGCGCCAAAAATCGCTATCCTAACGGCATCGAAACCACTGGAATCGTGGCTCCCTCCACTTTGCCAAACACGTCTACTAAGAAAGCGAATGAGTAGGAAAAAAAAACTCTGCCATTGCTTCCCTCCAACAACAGCATTCGAGGGTAGCCGAACGCAATATCAAGGAACCCAGATCAAAACAAAGCAATCCCACCCGTCTTCAGTCAGTTTTCACGTTTCCATCCAATAAGCATTATAGACATAGCAATGTATATTGTAGCGCTGCCAAATGCAATTAAGGATCCGAACGATCTGTTCACTCCTTTCTCCGCGACCTTCGATGCGGAGTATACTCTGAGTGCCATTCTCAGTCAATGCTCTAAAATCGTCCACAACAGCTTGAACTGTTACTCGAAGCGCCCAAGCTCAGATCTAGTTGTCTACGTTGTCCTATGAAAGATATCAAAGTATGCATGCTGCCAACTCACGCCTCTGCAACAAGTGCTTGAAACCACGTCACGCATGTGGTTGGGGTACCGTCATGGTTACCACAATGTACACCTGTATAGTGGCAATGAGTGAAATGATCACAAAAACAATAGGCGCATCATCCTGCCTGGTGTTTTCACATCAGTGGTTGTCACTCGCATACCTGACTCTCCCTGCTTTTCCACTGCTCCTTTCTTACCACCTGCCGAGCGCATGCGTAGTTCCTCGAGCGACCCATTTCGCCAAATTCGAAGACCTGTTCCAAAACTAACAACATCCTTCATCCTCTCTCACACTGTTGTTCGTCATATCACTCACCAGCTCATTTGAAGTCAATGGTTCCGATGAATCGAAGGAGTACTAACTGGCTAGAGTTGACGAACAATTCGACAAAGTTGTATGAGTGCCGGATGTGGGTTAAAAACAGTTTTGAAGATTTTGCACATCACATTTGATTGTTTTGTGAAAAGTGTGATGTGATGTAACTTGATTAGTCGGTTACCTTTTTTGATTGCCCTAACCCAAGAAGTCATAAGAAAGTGCAACACGCCTGTGCCATCATAACTCGGATGGGGCTTGTAATGTTTACGTTTCACAGTGGATTGTCTTTTCCTCCGCATGTCGCAGTATGTAACGATCGATATGTTGCAGTGTTTAGCTCTTTACCTTGTTAAAATAAAGCTCTACCATTGAACCCGAGCTGAGCAGAGCTGAATCAAGCTTCAATTAAAAGAACTGTATGTTTAATTTACACTGCCGATTGTTCCTTCTTAGAAGCGATGTTCCTTTCTTGCCTTTGAGTTTGCAAGTTTATCAAAAAATGACTGGGGGTGTTGGTTGAACAACAAAGTAGTAGGATGTCATAGTGGTCATAATTATGACTCGTACTCAATCCTTGTTTTCTATAGGAGAGGATGTAGGAAAGGCGAAACTACAAAGAGTGAATTACAAATACATCATCTCAGTAGTGAAGGAGGGGAAAAATCGTGCGTCTTTTTTCAATCGGGAACACTTCCTATACTTCCCGTCGAGGTCGACTTAACGAAGCATATTTTAGTTCAAAATGTATGGGACAAGTTCTCAGATACCAACGTGCATGTTTATATCTCGATAGAGCAGGTAATAAAGTGGAAATTGCAAACCCTCATTTCTAATGATTTTTTTAGGGTAACGTGACGTTGAATAGGCTGACCTATGGTGACGATGGCGACGTCTTGAGTAGAGTGGTTGCAACACTCGATCTCGGGTCGATAAAACCGAGATATATTGCTGTGTTTGCCACGCACATGCAGTACTGCCCATCGTTTATTTCGGGGGTTTGTCCTTGCACACAAAATTCGGGAAAACTTCAATTTCAGTGTGCTCTGTAACTCGAGAAGATAATGATAGTTCATGATACGAGATCCAACTTTCTCACTTAGACACAGTGTTCATCGTTAACGCAGATATGTTTCAACTGATATTCAGATAGATACAGTCTTTGACGTATGGCTGAGAGGACATCCATTGAACGTGCAAGGTCAGATAGACGAACATTTACCCCCACGCGAATATCTCAACACTTGCCTCCGGGACGTGCTCCTGAGTATGATCGCAATAGTCTTGTGAGCACCATGTTTTGTTAAATATTTTGTTGTAGGCAGGAGATCTCTCCTGAACAGGTTGAAGGAGCCCACAGATCAGGTATAGCTACATTGTGGTGTACGCTCGATTACACACTGTGGAGAGCCTAGGTGCACAGCTTACGATGCGAACGGTTTCTTGTTTCCCACCAGCACAACCTATGACCACCACCAATGGCATAAGGGACGCTGTTGGGTGTAAAAACGACCTAGGTAGAACGCAGTAAGGACCCCGAAACCGGCTTAGCCGACGTTCAGACACATTTCTCGCGCTTTGTAGAAGCTAAAGGCCGCACCACTTGCAGCTGCACGCGCACGTTGCACGCAAGCAGTGTGGCCAGCTGTACGCTAAGGAATGCCATTTTGACTTTTTTGACTTCTTGTCGTAATACCCCTTCCAGGCAGTTTTCTTTGTCGAGCCCTTGACCAACTCTTGGATTTACTACATTTTTTAAGCTTTCTTCAAATACGGCCATTTTCGCGTTTAACTTACACTCTCCCACTAATGTAGACTACCACTTTCATCATTCGTTACAAACTTGATTCCCCGAAACTATCGCTAACTATGCTTTCATTTTTTGATATGCGAGTACTTTCATTGCTTCTTCTGATAATATAGTTGTAAACAGAAAATAAGAAAACGTAAGTAAAACTTCTTTATAACTGAATTTTTCAAGATCAGTCCAACAGTTATATACTTTTCGAGAAAAGCAGCGATTTGTGAACGCGTAAGGTGTCGCTTCATTGATCTGGCTCCGAACCTGTAAGAACTGCTGGACGAATGGCTGCAAATCGTTCAAACCTCATCATTTCTCAGAAAATAAAGCAAGCACCTGACTCACTATCATAGAAAAAATGGCTAGTTCTTGTGAGGGATGAAATAAATCGAGACTGAAACACGGTGCGTTGCTGGCATATGTGCAAACTTCGACCTCGATGTAAAATTTGAATTTCCTAAATACTTTTCTTTCAGTTATTTGTTTTAATGAGGAGAAGTTTGGAGGAGTTTAGAGTACAGCCCGATGTTTTCTTGTATAGACGCGACTTGCGAAAACTCCGCTACTGTTTCGTGAACTTTGTTGTTTTCTCGTTTATGATTTGAAGCTTCTTTTGTCGGGATGGAACTCTTCAATTCAATTCATTTCTCGAAGCTTAGGTTGAGGAATATCAATTAATGAGAACCTGTTGCTTCGATACCATTCATAAGGGAGATTTCTAGCGCCGGATGCGCATTTATGCAAGGTAACGCTCAATCCATGCTTCGCAGAGTGCTTAACCCTATTTGCAATCTGAAAATATCCCGCTATTGCTGAAGCCGGTATGCAGTTCGAAACTCAAAGCTATCGAAAATACCTAGCTGATATTAATGCGTAATATCGTGACTAGTGCACGACCTCCACTCAGTCTTCGAGCATGTGGCGGGTGGAAACCGCACTCCAACTCCACTTGCAGTCTGTCCAACCGCAAAAGGCGGATATTGCCAGAAGGGCGGGAAAATAGTCACAAGCTTGCTATCTTACCCCTATCTCGAACTTCGCTTAGCCATTCAAGTGTAGTCTTCCGGCTTTGCAGTTGGTAGACCGTCTCATGTCTCCTCTCCTCGTCAACCGACAAACGTCGACCGTCTCATCTCATCTCATTTCACCTCCCTCTCATATTTCGCCTCAGCGTCCCGCAATGCGTATATTCAGTGGGATTGAATCACAGAATTCCATTTACGTCTTTGCCTCTTTCCATTGAAGTGTTGTCATGTAATATCAGCACTTCATTAAGGGAGTACTCTATTGTTGTTGAATAATCAAGCGGGTTTATTCCCAAATGTACCGCGTACATGTCGTAATCTGAGCGTATGGTTTGGCTGCAGGCAAACAGGCCCTTTGTTGCCAGCAGCAGGATCGTCCAGCATTCTTCGGTGCTACGTGTCTCTTAAAGGCACCGTTCGCGATAAAAAAGTTATTGAGTTCTTACCTTATTAATACTCAGCGGCCCCCATGGGTTGTAGAAGGGACCCTCTCACTTCCCCAATCTCTACTTCCAGGGCATAGTGGCAGCCCCGTTGTTGCCGTAGTTCGCGTTCCCGCCCCTCGATCGGTGTCACGTTAGACGAGTGTCGAGACAATACAGATCGCTATTATTCGTTCTAGGACCCACGCACAATCAGCTAATCGCCGAGTGATGAGGCGATGTTTTTCTCCCATTCTTCTTCCTCTGTTTTTCTTCTTGCTGCCACGATCCCTTTTTGAATTTCCTACTCCTAGATACTGAAGAAGGTGAGCTGCTTTTGCTGTTACTAGGTTTTTTTTGCTTATTTATGCTTATAAGTGGATGAATTTTTGCTTACCATTGTCTGTTCTTCGCACCACGACCCACACGCGCGCAGTGAAACACACTGTTTTGCTCGTCCAGTCGCCCCACTGTTCTTCATTTTTCTGGTTTCATTCTCGTTCAGCCCCCTTTTTGACGTTTTTTTTGAAGCCTTTAAGAGTGTGGGCACTCTGAGTCCCACGTTCTGGCGTGGCCGGGGTGCGGGAACGCATGCGAGCAGCAGAAGGCACCTTGTCACGGCACGTAAGATTTATACAAATTGAGGGGTGTATGATTACGTTCAGTAAATGAAAAGAGCTACTGCAAAAGAATGGGGCAGTCTCCATACCTTTGTTCTGAAGCTTTAAGATTTTTTTACCTGATCGCATTTTCAGATTATTCGAAATAGATGGGGCTCTGCTCTTTTTAAGTTGACGTAACAGAAAAAAAGTAAAACTTTGTTGTTTATTCATGGCTCCGTCATACACGTCATCAAGTTTTATACTGTGCACCGTCTCGTAAAGTATAAACTTGTTGCCTTGATCTTAAAACGTTGTAATCTCAAGTAAATTTCACAAATGTTCTCATTTTCCCACATTTTCATATTATACTTGAAGCGCTCACGTCTGTCTCTCTGTTTGCACGGGAATTCGATATTCTTGAAGAAGCATCTACGGAAGTCGGGTCAGGTGTGGGATGAGTTAGGCATAGGGCAAGACCAAAAAGCACATAGGAGCTCCCACAGTGGGCGGAGCATGCAGAAGAATGGTTGGTGTCATGAGCACAACTTTTTAATTAGGTCTCATAACAGCTCAGATACCGGGAAAAAATGAGCAAAATGAAGGAGGGACCAACAAGTGAAGTGTAGGAGTTCCATCGGCGGTGAGCGGAACGTTCTCAAAGTGGGCGGTACATACCACATGGGTCTATAACTTGATTCAATGGAGCCGTGGAGACCAGAGAGAATTGAAAGGGGTGAGCACTTCATGTTTGCTAAGCACATGTGAACATATCGAAACCCTCCCGCGATAGATCGGGTGTGCATACAATAATTAGGTTTATTTGTAAAAAATAAATCACTTCTTTCAAAAACGTTAGGATGCAGAAAGAAATTGGTTGGAGGCCATGAAAGAAATCCGGTCAATTCCCTGAAAAGGACGAAGCTTTCAACACTAATGTGGCCGGGTCTAAGATCAAAAATTAATAACACTGTTGAAAGATTTCAGAAATCAAGGAAAAAGCTGATTGGAGGGACTAGGAGGAATGTAGCCAGATTCCTGAAGTAGGAGGAATCTGCGTGAAGGTGATCGGGGCTAAGATCAAAAATTACAACCCTGTTAAAAGACGTCCCAGGACGCGGAAAAAAAACGATCAGAGGTAGAAGGATGTGGTCAAGTCTCTGAAGTAGGCGAGGCTGCCCTAAGTTGGGCGAGACAAAATTCAAAAATTCAAATTCACAAATACCATCAACATTATCATTATCAATCATTCCATATATGAAACCATCATCGTTGGTCATCAATTAGTCCATAACGTTATCAATCATTCCATATACGAAACCGTCATCATTAGTCATCATCATCATGAAATCATCATCACTACTCACTTCTATATAGAAAGAATCCGTTTCTGCCTGTCTATCTGTTCCGAAATTCGGTATTACCGAAGGAAGTCGGGTCGACTTTGGGGTGGCTGGGAACAGAGCACATATGAGCACAAGGGGAACCCAGCCCACAAAGGTTGGAACCTTTAGCGGAGTGGGTGATGCAATGAGAAAAACCTCATAAATCTGCTCTCGAGAGTTCACATATTAAGAAAAACGGAAAAACGTCAGCTCAAAGCGAAGGAGACTCATCCGCGGTTAGCGTTCCCAATTTCTTCGCGGAAACACATTACCCACCAAAGTCTATTGCAATATTCTCGGGGGTGTATGTAGCTCAGCTCAGAAAAATCATTTCTATTTAACGCCTTCGTTGTCGTGACGCACGCGTTATTGTGCGATGCCCAACTGGTCTCATCAGAAGAAGAAGTTGAAGTTTCCGTCTACAAGCTATACAAACAGAAGAAGCAATAAGCGTAAACTATGAGCTGCAATATTGCGTGCCCCGCTACATATACGGCAGAAAGCAAGAATGACTCCTTCATCCGAACTACACTCATTGCAGCATAGCACCTTAGGGTACGAATTCTATAAGAAACGAATTGAAAAGGAATTGCTAATGCTACTGTCCGGACGTTTGTGGTAATCTAGCAGAATTGATTCTAGTTATTTCCAGGGCGCCCTACTACATATTCCAACATGGTAATGCAGTCAGATTACGTTTGTAACAAATGTTCCTCACTGGCAACCCTCAAAGCAGAACTCTCTCCTCTCATTTCTTTGGAGACGAGTGATAAGAAGGGGAACAAAGAATGATACTCGCAAACTTGAAACTTTCTACTTTGACCATACCATCACCCACAACAGAAAGAGAGTCTGGTCAGCCGGAGTTAATCATTTTTTACAGTTATTACTACTGCCTTACAATTGTGATATTGCCCACCTACTTTATCATTGCCATGCCACTGGCTAGTCACCGAAACGGCCGTGCTCCAGTCACTGTCGAAGACGAAGTGAGCTAACGTTTTCATTTAACAATTTCTTTCGGCAGTTTGAATTTTCAACTAATTGCGAGATTTCAATAGCGGCTGATGATGTCCTATGTCATGCCCGCGGGGTAGTGAGATTCATGAAGGATAGAACGGTTCTCTTTGCTGAAGTCTCAGGCTAGTCCTTGAGTAGGCCTGGACCCAGTATACATACATTGCAGTAGTTTCTGAGATTCCCCCACAGGATGAATGCGTGACCCTCTCGTATGCCACATCCGCAGCTATCAGGTCGGAAAATGAGGTAGTTGGCGCGTTATAAAGGATCAAAGATTGGGCCGTATGCATCCCCGAACAAGTTTCACCTGCACTGCAGAGGCTGCACCGATCACGATGACTCAGGTAGGAAGTTCAAACAATATGTCATGACTCGTAGAGACAGTGAAAGGTAGTACGCCCTGGCGTTGATGTAGTCGGCTCTATGCGCAATTGCAACCACTAAAATATCGTCCAAATACCCCTTCCATGTTCAGATAATCTCGTCCAACCTCTATTTTCCCTACTTTTGAGTGGCCATATTTTCCTGGGAATCGGTCAATTCTTTCACTTTCTTAATTACCGATGAACATTTCCCAACCTATACTTTCGCTTTTTGAATGAAAAGGGGTACCCCAAAATTACCGTGAACTGTACCTTTGAAGGTAGATCCTAGAGAATGAGGCAGCGATTAGGAAGGTCTGACGAATCTAAAAATCTCTGAATAGCCTTTGCCAATGTGGTGGAGCTGGCGTAAATGATTATGGTGACCCTCTTCACAAAAAGAGAAAAGTTGCTAAATTTGTCCATCTCGTATAGCGGCGAATTTTCCTCAGACCTACCAACATGTCATTTAAAAAATGCGCTTGTTAGCAGCTACTTTTGGGAAAAGCTTTTTCTGATATTCTGACTTTCTGATAATATTGAAACACTCCATCGAAGACACGATAGGCTCTACTGCGACTCTATTTTAGGCTTGAGCGATTTTTTTCATTGTATTCTTCCAGACAACCGACTCACGCCCAGTGATGGCGACTGATGTCGAATATTTGACACATCAAACCAATTCCTTTAGTGTGCTCAGGAGGAGGTAGAAGGCGCGCCCGCCCGGCTCCCTCGGCCGAGCCTTCTACCTACCTAGGAAAACTTTTAAAAAGTAGCTCCGTTTAGGAAATCCCTTCAAATGCACGAGAAAAGAGGAACTCTGATCCATCGAGTTCTCAACCAAGTTCAAATCAACCGACAACTTCAACGGACTAAATGCGCTGATAAAGTGTTTGTTTCCAGAAACACAATAGCTAATTCACATTGTTTTGTATATCTCGATATTCACTACTTGATATATAAGGAAACCTTGATCATACCTACTCAGTTTTTCACACTGCTTTCGAACTTGTGGTCCCGATCGGCGATAAATTTTTTAGGAAGGATTGTCTCTACAGTTACTTAGCGTATTTCGGAACTGTTTTCGGGATTTTTTTATTACGTTTTCGTTTCTCATTGAGTTTTACACATAATGTTTTACCACGCTCCTCGAGATCAAGACCCACAATACCCACCCTATGTATTAAAAAAAAGATGAAAAAACGCTGATTTTCGTCTTTTTTGTCTGTTCTTTATAGCTGGATTAGTTTTCACTTTCTTCACAAATAATGCTACATCGTTCAATACAGCTCGACGAACTCTATGCAATGGTGCACTGAAAAATTGCAAAAGTTGAAATTCGAAGTCCTCGCTCATAAATGTTCCTGGGGGCACGTCATTAGCAGTGACGCTCGCTATAATTATAACCAGAAAGCATTCTTCCCAATTGAATATGTTTAGGGAGTTGTGGAGCAGCCGTCGTACCCCAAAACTGAACAAAAAGCAGACCTTTGCACTCGTAATGTTTTACTGACCGTTTTGATACCTACTTTTTCTAAAATGGACAAATTTGGTTATGAACCAATCTCGAACGGAAGCGGCCTTCCAAAGTGAAAATTATCAAGTCTGAGCTAATCCATAATGTCAGTGAATGATAAGCCTACATTTCACAAATAGCTCTTTTCTGCAGTTTGCAAATTGTGTGCCTGGATTTGAGAAGAAAAGCGATTTCATTATACAAGTCCAGGGTTGGGGCATGTTTCGACGGAGAACGTACGTTTTCTTACTTTTTCTACTGGCATGCAATGTTCAGTAAGACGTTGCGCACCTTTCACTAAAGGAACGCATACAGAGTTCCTGAAGCACATTCATGATTTATAGGAAATAGTTAACTGTCTTAAAACCCTTACCACCCTCGCTATTGGTCCATCCTTATATTGAGTCACATTCGATGTCACAAATCGTTATATGTAGCTGGTATGAGAAGCTTGATGTTATCAAGTGTACACTTTAATTATTAGGAATTAGAAAAAAGTTCCGTCGGGTAGTTGAACAAGATATAAAGAATATCTATGAGAGCTGATAGAGGCATTTACACCTTTATTTCAGCATTACTCGCAGTGCTTGTGGTATATTGACTGAGCTCCTTCTTGTAACAAACACCCTATCCCGAGAAAATGTTGAACTGAAGAATTTTATCCCCTTTTTCAAGGTTTATAGATTTCAAGTTTTTCCGTGTTTAGCTGAGTGAGGGTATGAAACTGAAACAGAGTTCGATACTTTGACACAACAGAGATCGAAAGCTTCCCTCTTCCTTTGATAGTTGTAGTAAGTCTAACTCTCCACTCCTTTTTTGGAACAAATGGCAGTTTCCTGAACACGAAATATGGCACACGACTAACAGGGCAGTGCAAATGGTATTCAATTAAAGTCGGTGCTTAAGCCTTTGATCGGAAGTCTCGAACCTTTGCTCGCTTAGAAATAAATACCCATCAAAATCTATCTGTTAAACAATCAAAGATGATGCTTTGATGTTTTGAGTGATGATAGCAACGTTATCAGATATTTTTTTATCAATGGGCCCTTTTCTTTACGGAGATATCATTAGTTGAAAGTTCTAGATTACAGGCGGTCGAATAATTTTGTCGCAAATGATATCGACCCAAAGAGGACCCTTCACTGAATCACAACTTTGCTGGGTAGCGGTCGTAATTTAGTGGTGAGAGATGAACAAAGCTCTAATCTGCTTATCGTATTGTCCTTATGGGTCCTTACCACTGCCATTACCACTCACGTTTGTCATCCTGCTCTACCGTCCCGTCTTATCGAATGAAACATACTGATCGGTCAAAGCTACATCGTAGATACCGAAGATGTTAGGATTTTGATCGGTAGGTGGCACTCTTAGGTCCTTTATCTTCTCTTATCAGTTATCATCAGTTCCTGTCACCAAGTACCTACGATTCCGTCACATCCTGCATCACCTATTAGAATGCTGAGGTTCCACTGGTAATACGAGAAGTGTGATCCCACCAAGTTTGAAGGCTCTTGGTCCACGGGGACAGGAGCTATAAATTTGCGGCCCACAGTTGCTATCGCGCACGCCCCGCTCCCTGTGCATGGAATCCGGTCCTGCCACCCACCATAATTATTCCCATACCACGCCCTGTACTCCTACCAATTTTGAACTCTTTGGGCCCACTGGAGCAGGAGTTATGAATATGCCACCTAAAATTTCTATCGCGCACAATCTGCCCCTGTGAGTGGAGTCTGGTCCTACTATCTATCATGAGTGTTCCCATGCTGCCCCCTGTACTCCTGCCAAATTTGACCTTTCTAGGTCCACGAGAACAGGAGTTATGAATTTGCGGCCCAAAATTTCTAACCGCACGCCGCACTTCCTGTGAACGGGGTCCGGTCCTGCCACCTACTATAGGTGATCGCATCCTGCCCCCCCTTGCGCCTACCAAATTTGAACGCTCTAGGTCCATAGAGACAGAAGTTATGAACTTCCAATCAGACACACACACCGACACACACAAACAAACACACCGACACACGAACAGACACACTTGACGAGTTATATAAAGTAGGATTCTTGCGATTTAACGATTATTAGCCTCAACTCCGAACTCATACGCAATTGCTTCAATCAAATATGCAGATTGTAAAACGACTGCGGTAACATTAATGAGCAGGCTATTGTCGAGGTGCGAATAACCTTTCGCGGTTATTACTGCAAGAGCCGCTGAGGTCGGTGGCAGTACCTTCGAAAAGTAGAAGGCGCTCTACCCACCCTCAATGGTGAAGGCAACAATTCAGACTATAAAAAATACAGAAATAGAAAAAACATTCAAAAAAATAGAAACTACTTATACCATAATAGTCTTGCTAGAACGCATCGATGGG